AAAAAAAAAAAAAGAAAGAAGCCATCACGTAGAGTAAACACCCACTTCACACATTTTTGAAAAAAAAAAATTTTTCGGTTGGTCATTCATTCATGGGAAAAAGTGGAAGGCGTTTTTCACCCCTTTTACGAAGTTTTTTTTTTTTGTTAGTTTCTTCCTCCTTTGTATGTAAGTAAAAAGTAGGGAATTCTCCGCCAGGCGGCTACCATTTCAGAAGTGTTAACAAAATGAAGTGGGTACATTTCGCGTTGCGTCCGTGCCTGCATCTCGTCCAGGTAGGGAGGGAAGGCATCATAGTGTAGGGACCCAAGCGTGTTCCCCAATTGTGTATCACCACAAGACGCATTGCAAGCGGTCTGAAGTGTGACCCTCGGACGAGCAACACGGTCGTGTCCTGTGTGTCCCCATGTTGGTCAGCATCATGAACCGTTGCACATTACGTATGCCAAAGTTTGCAACGCGCCAGCATTGTGTGGACCCCTAATGCGTACCCGTGTATATTTTTTTTTTTTTTTTTTTTTTAGAAGGGGGATACGGAGAAGAGGTACTTCCTATACATCCAGGTAACACTACTGAAGGAGCGGGAGGTTGCACAATATATGCACACTGTTATGCGTTTACAATTTGCTCTTTTTTTTTTTTTTTTTTTTTCCTGTCATAGCAAAAACGCATATGCAACCAGCAAACCCCTCTACACATTTACAACGCCACCAAGTACTCGAAGAAGTCGATGAACCACCGTCTGTTTTATATAAATTGGCTTTTCGTGTTTTTATTCTTGGACTTTTGTAACGGTCATTTGGACATATTATACGTGTAAGTGTGTAGGTCCCTTCTGTTGGAGCAACCACAGAGGGGCCCCTGCTGGGGCCTTTGCAGTTGTAGCAGTCACGACGCGTGGCAGTTTTGCCGCTTGGCAGTGTTGCCCCTAGACAGCTTGTGCACAAAATGGAGAAGCAACGGGTGCCTATAAAACAGGGGAACTCCAAAATGTCCCCGTTCGATTCGTTTTTATCGTCTTATCACGACACACACGTGAAAGGTGTACAAAACATGTGTTAGGGAAAAAAAAAAAAAAAAAAAATGAAAATTCCATTGTGTAAATTTTTTTTTTTTCCTTTTTCGAATTAAAAAAATTTAAACGATTTGAAGGACAAGTAAATGCCACAAGCGGTGAGGGCCACGAGCAGTGCGCCGATGAGTCCGTCCGACGAGATTAAGTCGAACAGAAGACTTTTCAGGGCCAGCGCATTGCTATTTCTGGCATCCATTTTGAGTAACGCATTTAGGTAGTTCTTTGCCTTTTTATAGTCCCTCAATTTCATGTGCGCGATGGCTAGCTGGTACAGACAGTCGATTCGGTTGTAGTTTATAAGTAGCAGCTCGTGCAGCAGGGATGAGGCCAGCTGGATGTTCTTTAGGTCCGACGAGCAGATTAGCATGCACGCGTAGTCGAACTGGGTCTTTGGCATTACATGGTCCACGGACAATTCCTGCAAGGGGGGAGGAGGCAAATGCGGCGGCGCGTGGTTCATTCGGGTGACTTTTCGCTTTCCCTCTGTGCAATACACTTGTACACTTCTCGTGTGTGAGCGCCTGCACACATCGCTTTTGACCCCTTGGCACTTTTTCTCTACCACTTGAGCCATACATTTTCATAGTCGCTCTTCACTCTCTCCAGCTCAATTTTGAGGAACTCCGGGCTGTCCATTTTTCCTCCTATTGGGTAAACCTTTATTTGCCCAATCTACAGTTGGCCAAAATGGATAAAGGATCTCCTTCGTAACAACTTTTTTTTTTTTTTTTTTTTTTCCTTCCTTTTGCACACCTCAGTTTGTGTGTGTTTCCCCTTTTGGTGCGACTTGTTCGATTCACGTGTGAGGGGTTACTAACTGATGCGCTTATTTAATGTTAAGGGGGGCCATGCGACATGGTTGTGCCTTTGTAGCGCTAACGCGTGGACGCTAGTGTTGAGTATACGTTGAGGGCGAATTGACACGCTTTGACCAGCGCCGGAAAATTGGTTGCGCCTTTCATGAGGAAGGCAAGGAAGGAGGGAAGAAAAAAAAAAAAAAAAAAAATTATCAGCACACGGCAAGCCGCCTACAAAATTGTGGTCGCAAATTTATATACCAACGTAAGGCAGTAAAGCGGAGAGGAAAAAGCTTCTTCCTATTTGCAGGACGGGGTTGCGTCGTTTGTTACCTCGAAAATCAGGGCCTACATTTACACCTGCATTCCCCTGCACGCTTCTCAATAGTAATGTTCCATTCCCGTGTCAGGGTCACCCCCTTATATCTTTTTAAGCTTAAATTTTTTTTTACCCTAAAAAATGAATTTTTATAACCCCTAATTTTTAACGTTGAAAAATTGCCACTTCGGGCACCCCCACAAGGCGCACCCCTTGTAGACCACGGGAAAAAAAAAAACAAAAAAAAAAAAAAAAAATTACACAAATGAATGAAGAAGCGCATGACGAGGCAAACGAACTCATGAAAGCATCGAGACGCGGAGAGGTACATCGGTGAATGCTAATTTTCACACACCTTTGCAAATGGCATGTAAATATTATTTGAGGGCCCTCTCCCTACTGCCGAATGGCGAGGGCAAAGGAGCAGAGCCGGGTTAGGGACACCCAAGTCTAAAACACACGGATCGCAGGTACCAGGTCGTTTGGTCGTTGCAGAGAATGCTGCATGAGGGGGGGTGGGGTAAAAAAAAAAAAACAAGGGATGGAGCGGATACAGCATTAGAGGAAACACAAAAAAGGGGTTGCACGGTGTATCGCTTCTTTTTTTTTGAGGCACTTTGTAAGGGACTTACCTGTCCTCCACACTGCAGGCATTCTCGTACACAATGGAGAGAGTGCGCTTCTTCCGCTCAAACACACATTTGACAATGTTTAAGAATTGGTGGTAGTCCCGTGCCGACAGTTCGGCCGTCACGAATAGGAGGCCTGCGTAGGGGGGGACAGCGTATCGTCAGCTACTTGTTAGCGACTCATTAGCGACTCGTTAGTGGCTTTATTTGCGGCTTTATTTGCGCCTCGTTAGCCGCTTTATTAGGGCTGCATCCATGCAAGCTTACCGCCCTCCTGCAGCAGGTCTGCGAGGCACACCAAATGCTTGTGCACCCCCTTGAAGGAGGCCGCATACCTCTTCCCGTACAGACTCGTGTACGAGTTGCTTCTAAAGACGATGTTACTCTTTATGTTGAAAATGATTAACTCGAATCTGTTAATGGAAGGGGGGGGGGGCAAGTGGCGTTCGGTAAGTGACATGCGGCACGTGATGTTGTGCAAGCGATGTTATGCAAGCGATGTTGTGCAAGCGACGTTGTGCAAGCGACGTTGTGCAAGCGACGTTGTGGTGAGAGGGAGCAGCTTCTTAAACGAGACACAACGTAGCACGTGTGCCATCCTGCACACGCGGTGCACATGTCCCCACCTCAGGTTGTTCATAAGCATGTTATTCAGCTCGTCCAGGATGTCTGTTAGAAGGCGGGGGGGCACCAGAAAAAAATGAAATGAACACAAATACGCTCAAATGAATGAGCTCAAGCGGATGGGCTAATAAACGAATTGACGCACCTTCCCGGTAGAGGCACATGACTTGCCCGCAGCCGTTCCGCTTGACATTCTGGTCAACGTAATTTGCATTCTTGGCGCACTCCGACAGGAGGATGGACACGCCAGGTGCGTCCCTCGAATTGGAAGCAGCCTCCGCAACAGATGCACAGCTGATGATGTACTCGCCAACGTTGCCATTCACACACAAAACGTTTTCACCGTTAGAGATGGACCGTAAGAAGAGTCGATCTCGTTTGTTCTCCACGTGAAAAGGGACATAGGTTGTATCACACATGTTATTGTAGAAGGTGAGTCCATGTTCGCAGTGCTGGACGTCACACGGTTGGGCTTCGCTGGGGTGCACGTCGGAGTGGTCCCCCTTAATCGCTTCAAACGTGTACTCCTTCCCCTGCTGAGCTCTCTTCTCCTTTTTACTCACAATCCTTTTACAAAACATGTTCTGAGGAGAGAACATCGCTTCCAATTCCTGCTCAACGATACCCCTGAATCTTTGAATACACAGATTATCGTATCTGATGTACAGGTCTTTTCCTAGCGAGTAAACCACTAACCCCGGCAAGCCATCACTTGTGGAGCTAACCATTTTGCAATACAGATTGATCCCGTTTCGAACCCGTAAAGAATACATCCAGTTGCACAAATGTACATCTTTGTATAAAAAATGAAATCTTCTTTTTACACTTTCATACAATTTAATTATAAAAAAATGGTCGTTAATACTTTTTCGCACATCTCGGTCTATGATCCGGACCACTAGGTTACTCTTCCTGTTCACAAGTCCTACCCCCAATGCCTCTCCGTTGTGGAAATACACGTTGACCAACTCTCCTGGTTCATACTCGCTCAATTGCCCAATGCTGGTGATTTCAAAGTCGTACACGTAACTGTGTTTGTGCCTGGCCAGTTGGTGGTACCTCTGCAGGGAGAGGAACTGCGTTGCGCGCTGCTCCGTGCCACATTCAACGGAGGTGGGCACACCGGAGGGAGACTCCCCCGTGGCAGACTGCCCAGTAGCAGATACACTGCTCTCCTTCACCGGCTTCAACACAACCTTCACTCTCTCCTCAAATTTGCTACAAAACGTGATTCGCTTGCTCCGTACTGCTTGCAACTCCTGCTCGTTGAGGAAGCAGGACAAGGGAGACCCTTTTACATGAGCAGAGTTGCAGTGTGAAAAAAGGTTGCTTGACCCATACAAGTGCGATACTATCCACGGACGTTCATAACAAACGGTGCTATGCAGGTTGTATCTGTTCACAGTGGTGTACCTCCCTTTAATGTGTCGTCCCCGCAAGCACAGCCCCACTTCACGCGGGGCCCGGAACTTCATTTGTTTCACTCGCTCACAGGTGGAGGGGTAGAAGCGACAACCGGTACACAATCACTCCTTTGGGTTACCACTTCAGTGGGTTACAGCTTGCGCGATATGGAAGCATTTGTGTGATCAGCCAAGCTAATTCCCCTCTCGCAGGGGACATAGCACAGCGCCGGGTTAGGCGATGTGAAGCAACGCTTCCGGAGCATAGGAGAGAGAGTCTTTAAAAAAAAAAAAAAAAAAAAAAGTCGTTTGCAACGTTGCAGACCAATCGAGGCCCACTCGGGGGAAAAAAAAAAAAAAAAAAAAAATTCACCACATGAACCACTTAACGGGAGAAGTGACGGGGGAACAGACGTCCATCATCTGTTCCTGTCGAACGAGGGCAAGTGTGCACCGCGTACGTTGCACCGCTCCCGTCACACGGCGTACGTCGCGCCGCGTATATCACCGCGCATGTCACCGCGCAGTTGCTTGTCCTGCTGGGTGCTGTTCACGAGCAACAGCAGCTTCCTGTTATAGCGCCTCAAGTGCTTCAAATTCTGCTGAGCCTCTCTCAACTTCACCTTAGCCTTACAATGCTCGTAAAAAACGAGTGAGGGATTTGTGGAGTAGGCCTTCTTTATAAATGTGGAGACGGGGATGGTTTCCTTCATGGCTTTATTAACATCCCTCTTGCCAGTCATGATGCACCACAGAGCGTGCAGCTCGCTGTCGCGCACTTGTATGCCCAGCTGCGTTAACAAAAAAATAAAATGGTTCACTCCGATTTGTTTGTTCTCATCTGTGCACTGGAAGCTATCGTATATCATGGAGCGCAAGTAAGAATCCATCGCTGATGGGTGGTGGTCCTCCCCTTTGTCAGGTTTCACTTTGTTGTGAACAGCATGTTGGGATGCTGCCCGGTTTACACATGCAGGTCGTTCCCCCTTTACACAGGTAGGGCCTCCCCCACTCCTGCCAATCTTGAAGAAAAACTTTTTTTCCATCGCATGCCACATGTGAAAGAGAGAACTTACGCATTCATTGTCTACACGTATGAGTGGGTACTCTGAACCCGTCTCGCTGTTCAAATGGTTGTGTTGCTTGCTTGAAGAAGACTCCTTCAAGGGGGACACCTCTTTAAAGTACAAACCCATCCTGCCGTGTACTCCATCCCCACTGAACGATGCGCTTTTCATATGAACCTCTTTATCTCGGCTGAACAGGTTGTGGGGTGGTACACTACAGGAGAAACAGGTAGTATTTTCCAAGGCGCTACTCATATAGGGGGTTCTTCCACAAGTGAACCCACAACTGAGTGACTTTTGCACAAATAACGAGCGTGCAGTTTTGAAGTACTCACCGAAGAGGCTGTCGCCTGTATGGGTGGTACCATGTGGACGGAGCAGAACCCCCAGATGTTCATACACAGTGTCAATGTTTATTTTTTTGTTTTTGTGCATGAAGGGGTTGTCTTTCAGCTTGGACTTGAGGGCACCCTCATCGAAATAGGTTACGAACGAGTCGCCACTAATAATTAATTCATTCCACTTCATGCGTTCAGATATTCTTTTGAAGATGTTTGTGGTGTAGTTGCTCATCTGGGTGACAAACCCATCCACGCCGCTGCCACGCATGGCGCTTCCCTCCATGCCGCGTTCTCCGAGGAGTCCCTCCAAAATGACATCATCTGCACACTGAGCAATGAGGCACGGGACGAGATGCGCGTTGTGGTTGTGCTGCACGACCCGGTTGGCCAGGTGGACCAAGTTAACCTCCTGCACACATTCCCCCTGGCTGGTATCACGTTGAAGCACATCCCCGTGCGACTCAACATATGCCCAGTGAAGGCCATGAAAATTTACAAAGGTGTATAGAACAAGTCGTAACACATTTCTGAGGTTGCACAATTCATGCATGACTTCATGTGTACGCTTCGTCCACTTGTCCTTCTTCATCAGTTCGGCTAATCTGTGCAGGTGTGTTCTCATCACGTGGAACAGCTCCTTGGGGGGTCCACAGGAGGGGGTATTGACGGGTCCTCTGTCGGGGTCGCCTCGTGTGTCACCCCCATGCAGCTCCTCCTCTATCTGATCTCCATCATCAGTGCACAAATTCTCCACTTGAGCTACGTAGTTAAGTAAGTTTTGTACCCCCTGAAGGCAGTTCTCCTCTTCCCCCTTCCTAGCCCATGTGCAAATCTCGAGGACCCCCTTGCACACATGGCACAGGATCAAAAACAAATCGCTTGAAAAACAAATTTCAAAAAAAGTGACAAAATTTTCTGAACAAGTCAGGTGATTTGCATCTTCCATTTTTAATTCAACATTTTGTGGGTGACTGCTTCCCTTTTGCACATTTTCACTGGGCAGTTGCGTACAGAGGGGCGGTTCCTCTGGTGAAGCGGTAATTTGTGCATCGTCTTGGTGCGGATTAAGGAGGTCACTAGGTTGGTCATGCTGTTGACAATCCGGTTGGCCGTCTGGCTGGCCACGTGACTGCTCCCCCATCAGCGACACATTCCTGTTAATAAAAAAAATGTCCGCAGAAATGGAGTTTAACAAAACGAGACAGTCGGAGTAGTCTTCACTGTCCTCCCAGCCTTCACAACTCTTCCTCTTCAAAGTACAAAGTTTCGTCTTCACTGCATTTACATGCTTAGCAATTTCAGAAGTCCTCCGTAGGATCTCTTTATAAATGGACTTACACTCATCCTTCGAGCCCACCATCAGCTGTTTCGCGGTCCCTGTCACGGACCCCTCACATGAACATGTTACCGTAACAGCTGCGTCTGTTCCATCACCCCTTGCAGAGTCACCCTGCTCGTTCATAACCTCTGCACTCCTTGCACAGCCCTGCAAAGCGGGGGCGACCCCCACACCCCCATTAGCGCATAATTGAAGTTGCATAAGCAACTGCGTACAGTGGCACGCCAACCTTTTACACCTTTCCTTGAGGTCGTCGACCCCCAGTGAATCAATCTCCTCGCATAACAGTTGGTGGTCTTCAATGAAAAGTTTCTTCTCTTCCTTATTGTCGTCCCCATGGTGGAGTGAACTCTCCTTTTGTCCTTTTAATAATTGAATGAAGTCGTTACTCTGTTGAATTTTTTCATTTAACGGGTCTAATGCAACGACGTTGCTTCCTTGTGGTATGTCACCTTTGTGTTCTTCCCTCTGAGTTGTGTCCGTATCATCGACCTTATCACCTTTACACTCTTCTCCACTGACTTGGTGACTCTCCCCTGCACACTGCTGCACCTCTTCCTGCAACACATCTACTCTCCTTTCATTATCTTTTTCATTTTTCACGTGGATCTTAATTTGGTTGTTCAGCTGTTCCATTTTTTCTTTCATTTCGTTCAGTGTTTTCTCCATCGTGGTTAGCTCTCCCTTGTGCACTTCTATTTCTTCCTCCTTCTCTCTTAGCTCTTGCGTTAACTCCTTCATGCATTTACCTTGCCTGTTCAGCTCCTCCTTCAAATTATTAATCCTAAGTACATTGTTCATTTTTTCTGTTGTTAGAGCTTCCTTGTCCTTTTCGAGTCGCTCACACTTCTTCTGAAGTTCTTCCTGCTCTGTCTGCAGGAGCAGTTTTAAATTTACTTCCAACTCTCGGGCCTCCCTCGCCTCTTCCACGTCGGCGCGAAGTTGCGTCAGTTCCTCCTGAAGCTGCCCGTTCTCCCTGCGGTGTTTTTCCTCCTCCCTTTTCAGTTCTTCCATTTCGCTGCTCAGCTGTGCCTTCTCTCCAGTAAGCACTTCATTCTCACTCGACAGCCTTGCATTCTCCTCACTCAGGACTTCATTTTCGCTGCTCAGCTTTGCGTTTTCCTCACTCAGGACTTCATTCTCACTCCACAGCCTTGCATTCTCTTCATTTAGGGTCTCATTCTCACTCGATAGCCTTGCGTTTTCTCCACTTAGGGCCTCATTCTCACTAACCAGCTTTGCATTCTCTCCACTTAGGACCTCATGTTCGCTGGTGTGTTCGTCCATTTGGTGAGGCTTTAAACCGGCGCAATTTTCGCTCCACATTTCTGCGTATGCGCTCCATCCCCTTGTCGCCTCTGTGGTTAGGACGTTCACTTGCTCACTCTGCTTCGAGTGCAGGTACTCCTTCGAATGAGAGGAATCATCGGACCCCGCAAAAAATTTCCTGTCCACATGCTCCGTCGCGGTAATGACGTCTTCCTCCCCTAGTTGGCAATATTTTTTTTTTTTTTTTTTTTTTTCATTTTGCTCTTGGTCGTCGCATCGCAAATGAGCATCCTCCTCACCACACTTGTCCACAGGAGATATTCCTTCAAAGGTCGACTCGTCTCCCTTGTCCCTTTTTACAGAAGAACCAATGTCATTATAAGCGAAGGCCTCGCCCTCGGAGGAGGAGTTTTCATGCCACCTGGAGGTGGAGCTAATGGGACTCTTTAACTCCATAGGATCTTCAAAAGGGTCCACCACATTTTCCGCATGGCCGCTGAAAGTTTCATTTCTTTTGTGCTCACTGTTGTCCTCACAAAATGAGAGAGATCCCTTTAAGAATTCATCACTCTTATTATGTTCTTCTTCCTGTTCTCCTTCTTGCTCTTCCTCGAATACATTTCCCATGGACCCACCTAGGTGTGTCTGTCCAACCGATTCGCTCCTCATCTGGTGGCTTCTGTTAACGTTAAGGGGAAATTCTTCATGTGTGATGGGGTTGTCTCCATTTTGATCAGACAGCAATGTCCTCCTGATCTTCTCCTTCCATGTGCTTGTTCCACTGACGGAAGAAGCGCTTCTCCTGATCCTGTAAATATTTTCACTCGCTATGGCCTCCTCGTGGTAGCTGTTTAATCTCCTTGTGCGCGCTCCGCCGAGGGGGGCTTCTTCGTTCTGTCCATTCGCACAATTTTGTCCGCTCCTACACTGTTGGTCCTCTGGGTGAGGTTCATCAACGACGCCGGCCACGATGGTAGGGATAGCGGCGTCGTTTCTCCCCATCAGCCTTTTCAATCCCTCCAACAGTTTGCTCGTAAAAATTTTTTTTTTTTTTTTTTCTCGCCAGTCTCATTTGGCAGAGCTGCACGAGAAAGGACACACCCCTCGGGAATTTTACTCAACGCGGAGGTCCTTTCCCTCGTTCTCGTAGAACCGTCCTCATGCTCCTGCCCCTTGCTTGTAATTCCCTCCCCCTGTCTCACCATTTGTTCAGATAACATGGTGCATTTAAATTTTGCCCATCCGTTCGATCGACTCTTCTTCCTATTCATTTCCTTATTGCATATGGGGGTGGTGTCATCAAACTTCAATGGACAGTCTCGCCTGGACTCCTTCACCATGTGGGCACTGCGACTTCTAATAAAGGACAGCATCCCCATTTGTTTGTTTCTTGTGTTGTGTTCCGAGATGAAGGAGCTGCTTTTTTTCATCCCTTTCGTATGAACATGTTCAGGTGAATAATGATTTACCTGCGTTGTTGCGGTGGCGCCGTTCCGTCCAAGTGAGTCGCTACGACTTCCCTGAACCGGTCCACCATGAAGCGGTCCATCATCAATCGCTTCACCACCGCCGTTGCTCCCCTCCGTGGTGTTACTTCCAAACGTTGAAGAGGAGTATAACAGCTCAACCGCAAACTTGTCTCCGCCTGCATGTGCATGTAGAGTATGGTGGGGGACCTCCTCACGACCCTCTGCACCTAGTACACCGTTACTACCCCTCACATGAGGAACACCAAAGGAGGAACATGGGTCTTCTCCAATAACAATTCCTTCCTCTTGTGGATCCTCAAACGTGTTGTGCACAGATTTCAAATGAACACCTGCGTACGTGCTTCCTCTTCGAGTGTCGCACTGGACCATCTCTCCATCGCATCCTTCATCACCGGCGGAATGATTATATTGTTCAAACGAGTGGGACAAAATTGAATCGTCCATTATGTTTCGTTCATTCTTGTTCTTCCTAAGTTGGTACACGCCGTTGGTGCTGCCCCTGTCGGTTCTTCCTCCCAGGTGGACACACACCACCCCGTGTGGGTAGTCCTCCCCAAGGAGATTAGTCTCCTCCGATTCGTTATGATCACGCAGGTTGTTTTTATTTTCGTTTGAGCGCTGGCTATGCCCCCTTCCGATTGACATTTGCTCTCGGTGTGGTTGTGTGGGTGAGCCCCCTGAAGATGCGTTATACGAAGGGCTCCTCAAATGTGCATTGTGCGCGTCGCCCGCGTCGTCCGCCCCTTCCATTCTGTTCTTGGCTTGAATAATATAATCGACATAAGGAGTGCCACTACACTTGTCCCCCTTGTGCATGTCTCTCTGTTCATATGGACCTGGTGTATCCTCCAGACTATCGATGTGCATTATGGACACGTCAGTCTTGTGGCTGTACAGAAGGGCGTCGCTGAAGCGAGGTCTTTGTAGTGAGTAGTCGTTGGGCCCTCTTTCCTGCCCTCGCACGGAACAGGAAGGGTCCACGCAACAAGGGTGGCCCCCACACGCAGTAGCGTCACCGAGGGGGTCATCCCCACCTGCACGCTGGTCCTCCGAGATCACACCGCGGAAGTAGTTGTCGGAGTGGGACAGAGGTCCCCTCTCCCCAAAGTGCCTACTCGAGTCCATCATGGGACCCACCCATGGCGACTGAACCCCGTTGCATGAGAACGAAAGAGCATCGCCTCTGCCATTGGAGAGGTGGAGCCTACCACCACCTGCCGACGATAATACTTCAGCCGTATGACGGTCAATATATTTTTTTTTTTTTTTTTTTTTTTTTTTCCGTAGCACAGTTAGCAAAGTGGTCACCCCCGTCACGGTAACAGTTAGCATTGAGGACGTGCTCATTTGGCTCCATCACATTTCGCAAATGGCTCTGTCCCCTTCGTTCCGCTCTCCCCTCTGCACACACGTCTGACCCATCGTCACCTGAAGAGCTGTAACATGCTCGGGTGGCACCCCCACCTCCTTCATTCATGGCTAGTTCACCCGTTAAAAACGAACGCCACTCATGCCGCTTAGGTTGGAGAGAAGCATCGTGGCTACTGCATACCATGGCCACATCACTTGGTACCTCTGGCAAGTGTTTAATGGTAAAGGACTCTCCACAATTTGAGTGCACGTCGTCTATCGCGTCACTGTCGGAGGAGTGACTCTTCAAATGATTATTATTAATTGAACATGCATGCTGTTTGTGCTTCTTCAAGTGTGAAGCCAATTCGTCGCTTCGTTTGTGAATTGGTTCCTGTTGCATCTGGTGGGTAGGTAGCCCTCCCTCCATCCTACTCTGTCCATTCGAGTTGCTCTGCAGAACGTACTGCTTGTAAGTTATATAATCATTAGAGAGGTCCCCATTTGTGTCCTTTCTCCTTAACTCATGAAACCCTCCGTTCATGTCTTCCTCGTTGGAGCTGCCTCCCCTGCCCAGTTCATTCGGTAGGTACTGCCCGTGAAAGCCATCATACCCCACGTGCTGTTCATAAAAAGCCGCGGTAGTGGGAACAGTCTCGGAGAATGCAATTGACATATCCCCTCCACCTACTCCCATGTGAACGATTCGTGGTCTCCCCTTCACACCTTCGTAGATTTGCCCCACTGGGTACTCACACGGGGCGTGAGTAGTGACCCCTCCACTGGGGGTCCCTTTTGCACCATCACTGTCCACAGGGTTGTATACATGAGGGAAGAAGCTATACAGTTCATCCCACTTAGGAACATCACCTGGGTCACTTCCGCTGCGCGTTCCATTCATGTCTTTCATATGCTCATTTAATTGATCCTGTCCCTCGAGCAGCTGTTCATTTTTTTTTTTTTTTTGCCTCAATTTCGTTATGGACTTCATTTTCCCCCAAGAGGCCTTTCCTGCGCCTTCCTGATGAAACATACTAATGGGGGGACCCTGTACGTTCGGGACCCCGCGGTGGTAATGGGAGCGACACTTTTTTTTCTGTTCCTCCATTAGCCCATTTATCCTCTCGCTGCAGTTGCTACTACCTCGAGGGGTACTCGTATTCCTCTTGTTTTGGCAGGCCTTCTTCAGGCTACACGTCTTGGTCAGCCTGTACTTGTGTGCATACGTCGCCAGACAGGCGATTTTTTGCACCCGCCTTGGTGACGACACGTTTACTAATTTGTTCGCTCCCTTTTGCGCCTCATTCTGTGTAACGTTGCGTGTCAGGTGTGGTCCTCGTTTCTTTTTCGCACTTGCGCGTAGACTCGTCCTTGCCCCCCTCCCCATGTCTGACTCACCCGTTGTGCTTGCTTTCCTCGTGGATGGGGTGGAAGGAGTTCCCCTCAGGTCACTTTTTTTTTTCTCCTTAGTTAGGCAGTTGGTTCGGTACAGGCTACTAACTGTAGCACCTGCGCTACACGCACTACACGAACTACGCGCACTACCTATGCTACCGCCCCTGCTGGCACTCCCCTCCTTAGCCAGCTTGGCGCCACTGCCTCCACTCGAACCGACACTCCATTCACGCCTCTTCATGTGTGGCGACTTCAAAAGGGCACCACCTTCTTCCTGTCGCAGTGTCCAGCGGTTAGCCATCTCGTCCCCCCAGGTACCTCCACGAGGGTATAGTCCAACAGGTACGTAGTAAATGGAAAGGTCACCACCCCGTCAAGTAGCCACACCAAGGAGTAAGGCAACCCAACCAGCAACTTCAAAATGAGTAGTCTTTTTTTTTTTTCCCGCCTTCTCTTTGCGGAGATGAAAATCCCTCATTGGGTGCAACGAAATGCGCTTGGTGTGAGTGCCTTTTGTTCTCAACTGGGTTGTGGAGTGAATCTCGCAGTTTGGTCCCTAACCAAGAGGGGGAAAAGGAAAAAAAAAAAAAAAAAAAAAAGAAACTTGCATGTACGCACGTATACAAGGGTGCACATAATCGCATAAGTGCATACACCCATGTACGTGTGAATTATGTGCCAAAGGGTGGACACCCCTTCCCGTTCCCCACACGCAAGTGCTTACAATGTACACGGAAAATAAACAACCAACTGGCTCTCACATTATTGCTCAACAGTTACAAGGGAGACTGCCATGGAAAATACATACAGCTAGTACCACACATGCGCAAAAAACAAAAAAAAAAAAAAAAAAAAAAAGTTTCCATTCTGGTGTGCACGATGAGCGGAAGTATATAATAGTTCTTCTCACTTCGGATGAACAAACGAGAACGGACCATTATCGGGTGGTGGGTTAGTTGAACAGAAGTCCAGGGACATATGTGCCGCACAGTTATGATGGCAGAGTTACATCCCTTTCTGCTTTAACCTGGTGTAACACTGACTCTGTGTGTCTCCCCACCCTTGTGCACGCACCTTAACATGTTTCCACCTGTATGTACTTAACGTCCCTTTATTTTTTGTGCCCTCCCCATTTTCGCATAACTCTGCGCATACAACACAAACAGCCCTTTCTCGGGGGGGCCATATGCTCAAGGGAAGGAACCTCCATCACTACCATATTCGCGCGACAGATCTATCCTTGGAATATCCTTAAACACTTTTACACTTGTCACATGGAAGGGGGCGAGGAAAAGCATCCCGTTTTGTGTATTTTTTTTCCCTTCTTTTTGGGGGGCATGCCTCCACATGGCGAGGCGAGGGAAGTTTGCGAAAAGGGGGGCACATAACGGGGTGTGCACACAAAGGCATCCCTTCGGTGTATTCGCTGTACTGTACGCACGACACTATACACACGGTGCGGATGCACACAATGGGCCTCCCTCTAAGCCTGGCAAGACGAATACACCGTTAATAGTTGGCTTAAAAAAAAAAAAAAAAAAAAAAAAAAAAAAAGCGGCAACAGGGGTAACCATGACGGTGGTTTTTTTTTTTAAGCCACACATATACATGTCTGCTCAGCACAAACACACACAGCGTTGTTTACTCCCCAATCTCGCCCTGAATCATATGAATTTTATCATTCAGCAAGGAAATGGATTTGTTAATCGTAGAGTTCTCATTTTTTAAAGACACGAGGGTGTTGAATAATTTGGCATGCTTCAAATTCTGCTCTTCCATTTTTTTTTCCATCACCTGGGTCACTTGATTAATGTGGGTAGTTATCTCATCTTTGAATTCTTTTAAAATGGTTTCAAAATTGAAATCCTGTTTCTGTTGAGTCTGCTTGGATTCATTTAGCTCCTTTTGGAGTTGCACGATCTTTACGTTTATTGTATTTTCTAATTCTATAATTTTTCCCTTGAGTGTTTTTTTTTCTTTTTCTGGTTGATCTGTGCAGATAGTATATACATCGCTACCTGTGTCATGTTGCTCGAGATTTCCCTCCTGGACTTGTGCCTCCAAGTCTTCCTTCTTTTCAGGCCTCTCGTGTACCCCTTCCCCTAGCATCTCCTCCTCTCCCTTCTGCGTGCTCATGCGGGGGGGGGGGGGGGGGGGGTAGTGCTCGTTCAGAGATAAGTAGCTGCATGCAACAACACCGTCCTGCTGCGTACACACGTGCAGCAACCCTCCCTTAGTGTACCTTGCTGTACCCTTGTGCGTACTTTGCTCCTACCACAATCGAGGTCAATACCCAGACGTTCGATTTTCCCAAAGCTCTGCAGAGTAATACTAATTCGATGACTGTGAAGGGTGTACCCGTTAGTGGCAAGGAGCTCTCCTAAATTTTCTTTTCTTTTTTTTTTTTTTTCTAATCCCTCTATTATGCCAATTACGGTTAAAAGTAAATTTATCACTTGACCAGTTGGAAAAAAAAAAAAAAAAAATATGACCCGTTCAGAAAAAAAAAAAAGGTGTGATAAGAAATTTGTCTCTGTTGTCACTTCACCCTTTGCGGTAAGCTACACCGAGGGGAGGGACATCCCTTTTTCTGGGAGACTATGAGACTGTAAAGCGGCAGGACGACAGCACAGGTAAATGAAGAACGAGCGTGATGACCCACGTGGACCATTTGAACGGGTAGTCCCACTTGGCCCTTCTAATGTCGCCCCACCAAAGGAGTACACAATGACCCATGAGGGGAAGACAGAGGGCAAGGAGCAGCTACGACGTCCCACCTTGGCCACTTTTCCTCATTTCCACCTCAAAAAAAAAAAAACATAAAACGGAACTGCTAAATGTGTGATCACGCCATGAACTGCACGTGCCTCCCCTATCCATGTGGCTAACAAGCTGCGTGAGGAAAAGAAACATTGATCCAATCAGCAACTGGGTAAGGGCTGTCCAACCATGCTCAGTTACCCGTGAGTCTTCCCCTTATCCGCATACACACCCCTTGTCTTGTAGCCCATACAGTGGCTACTTAGGAAGAGAAGAAAAGAGGAGAGCGCAAAGGGGGGAAAAAAAAAATAAATAAATAAGCCAAACAAAAACAAAGTGCCCTAAGGGCAGAAGCGAAAAAAAAAGGAAACCCTCACCGACGTGAATGCAATTTGTGTAGCTATGCCGATTGCGTGTGCACGGAAACGAAGCCTTTTTTTTTTTTTTTTTTTTTGTCATGGTCGCCATTTCGCTCGCCCCTTCAGATGGTCCACATTATCCAAGTTAGCTCCAAAAAGCTTTCTACGCACCAGCTAGCCATTTATACACGGCGGGGCACCAATGTAGAAAGACATTTCCTATGCGGACTGTTGCGCCAGCTGTGTTATGTCCTACCGCACCCCCTGAGGGGCTACATGTATGCACGTATGTCTGCGTGTGCATATATAAATTATATGCTCCCCCTACGTTTCTCCCCTTGCGCACCGTGACGAGATGAAAATTTTCTCACCAATTCGCGCATGTGTGCATTTGTCTCCGCGTCACTCAAATTTTAAATTCTCCAATTTTCTCTTAAGCACACATCAAGTACTTTTTGTAGTGCATAACTATCTCCCTTTGTTTATTTTTATTTTATTCATTTATTTATTTATTTTTTTTTTTCTTTTTCCTCTCTTCGTGGACCCTGCATACTAACCTTCCTTCACCCCTCTCTCAAATCCCCAACCCCTGAAGGATAAGCAAAAGAACAGGTTAACTGGAAAGACGCTAAATGAATGATGCAAAACGTGTCATCACAAACTGAACACAAACCCTAAATGATAAGGCAATGAGTTTAGATTGTCCGCACACCCCTACATAAACGTGCCTACTCGCATGAACACCCCACCCACCCGCACTGTTCCTAACCCCCCTCAACCCCCATCTTTGGCAGAAGTCCCTCTCCAGTGAAATTACCACACAATTCAGTTGTGCTTCGATTCACCCACTGGTAAAAATATATCACACTGCGTACGTGCTCTTCTCCCCCTAACAGCTGCACAGGTAGAGATGCACCCCTGCGTACTTATGTATTCCCTCTCTTCCCCATCGCAGCAGCACCCCCACACACCAGTGAAAAACATAGAACCCTCCGTTCTGAGGAAAGACCCTGAACCCACGTTTCTACACAAACTCCAGCCAAAATGACTTCAGTTAAGCACCCCAAGATAAGCGTCCTCGGCGCAGGAGATATAGGCTGTACCCTGGCCCACATGATTTGCGAAAAAAATTTGGGCGATGTCGTTTTGCATGACTTCAGAAAGGGTAAGGCGACGGGGTCTCGGCTGGCGTATGTCCATCTGTGCGGGCGGCCGTATATATTTGTATGTATATATGTATATGCATGCGCGTGCATGTGTACACTTTGCTCATTCCTCACGTGCGCCCCTCCCCACGCAGACCTGTCCAAGGGAAGAGCCCTGGACATCCTACACACGCGCCCCCTCAACCGCTCCAGAATCAACATCCTTGGGACGAACGAAATTACTGACATTAAGGACTCCCTAGTGGTGGTGGTGACGATAGAGGTATCGGAGAGAGAGTTCGCTGAGTTTGATGAAGAAGATATTGAAAGACAGGTGTACACTTCAAATGTTAAGCTACTGAAGGAGGTCTCCAAGTCCATAAAGAAACACTGCCCCCAAGCTTTTGTCGTGGTCACCACCAACCCAGTTGATTGCATGGCCAAAGTATTACAAGTGCACGCCAACATCCCCTCCCATAAAATATGCGGCATGGCGGGCGTTCTTCACAGCGCAAGGCTCAGACACAACTTAGCGGAGAAACTCAGGGTATGGTGACATGCTGCGTGCCACACGTGCAGTCGCAGTTTTTTTTTTTTGTGTGGCTACCCTCAACATGTGTGTCTCTACAAAGGGGCTCTTATTTAGAGCCGTTCCCTAAACATAACGATAAACCCTTCCCGAATGACCAATATTACCCCCCTGCGCAGGTAAACCCCGGAGACGTGCAAGGATTCGTTATAGGAGCCCACGGAGATAAAATGGTCCCCCTGCCACGCTACTGCTGCGTGAATGGAATCCCACTTCACGACTTCACCAAGAAGGGAGCCATTACGGAGAAGGAGATTAGTCAAATCGTGGAGAAGACAAGGAATACAGGTTTGGAGTTACTCGAATTGTTGCCAGAAGGATCCGTTTGTTTTGCGCCTTCCTTAGCTATTGTGGAAATTATTGAGGCTTACTTGAAGGACTTGAAGAGAGTGTTGGTATGTTCAGTGCCACTGAATGGTCAGTACGGCCACAAGGGAGTCTTTGCAGGCATCCCTGTGGTCATTGGAGGCAAGGGAATAGAGAAAATTATTGAGCTGGATTTGAATCCGCAAGAAAAGGAACTGTTTGATGACTCATTAAAACACATTAGCTACTTGTTCGAAAACTACAAACACGAGGCGGTCGTGGACGAGGAACCAAAGCCAAACTAACCTGTCTCTCCCCATTAGCGATTTGGCGCGAAAAAAAAAAAAAAAAAGTTCACACATTTTCCCGTCCCATGCTGTGTTTCACACTCTATATATAGCATTGCTTTACTTTGCTGCTTTTTTTTTTTTTTTTTTTTCATACCCCATTGCACCGCTTCCTATGCATTTTCTCCTCGGCAGTGCTGCACCAGCACCAAGCGTTCGCCGAGTTTTTAATCGAAATGGTAAAGAAGGAGGGGGAATTCTCCAAGCTGTCTGAGAGAACATACACAGAACAAAAAGGATGAGAGACGGGAATTCCTCCACTGGCAAAATCACCACCACAGTTGCAGTCACATCCGCAGTGGCATAACCCTAGATTGAGCAAAAAAAAAAAAAAAAATATATATATTTTTCCTTTTTTTCATTTTGCTGAAACGGAAACTGCCATTGGGGCCAAACGCCCTTAAAAAAAAAAAAAAAAAAAAAAAACACACACCGCTTGGATGGCCCATCGTAAGAGAGCTACACCCAACCGTTGTTTTCCTACCCACTGTGAATTAAGCAGAAAAGGGAAAAATCGTTTAGGCCACATTCGCTCTCCTTTCATGATCACATTTGATGTGTAAAAATGGGCATGCATATGGGTCCCCATGTGTAAATGAAGTGCCTAGCTTAGCTAGCCAAATTGCCCTTTGCTGATGCGCAAAAAAGAAAAAAAAAAAACTGACCTGTTCATAACTTTTTAACCATTCTGTGCACAAATAGCAGCACAGCGCATCAAATTCACCTGCACGGGTCAGCAAAAAAAATGGGAAAAGTGTCGCACCGTGCGATGGTAAAACTGGCAGGTAAATATATTACCACAGATGATAGTCAACCCCTTTATGCGATGAGCGTGATTCCCGCGTTGTAGAGTTAGCAAAATACATTTTTCCCAATGCCATGCATCCTAACATTGACTCCAAGTCTTTGTCTTTCTACATTTTGAGTAGAGACACCCCCTCCTTCATTTGTGTGGAGTTAACAGCGGTAAAAAAAAAAAAAAAAGTTGACACACTTCAACAAACTGTTACATGGTCTACATGTTACGATGTATGTATGAGGAGGGGAATTTTCTCCCCAGTTTGGTCCCTCCCCACAGGGAGAGGTCAACATGTGTATATAACGTTATACCAAAGGGAGACGAGAAAGGGGTAGAAAAACAGCTCCCTCCATAGGAACGTCAAAGAAAGGCAATTCAAATAAGCTAAAAAGTGTTGCTGCAGGAAGGTAAGCTAATTGAGGCTCTCAATCGGCGCACACTCCAGGTGACCCCCTCACTCATACGAACAGATACATATAATATGGAACAGAGCAGGGTCCGCAAGGAGCACAAAAAATTTTACACCCTATTTCGACCCATTTAATGGTACCTCTTTGGCAAAACTTTAAGATGGTATTCTTCACTATGTTGGCCTCCCACTACGAACGGCTGCTTCCCAACACCACACTCTGTTTGTCGTGTCGTTATGAATATTTTTATTTACCCCTTTTTTGCATTCACACTGAAAAAGAGAGAGGTAGGGAAGTTGGGTAAACGAATTGCGTTTCGACCGCACCTTTAAAGAGGTGAACAGGGTTTTTTTTTTTTTTTGTGCGTAGCATCATCCACGCGGGGTTGTGTGAGGAGAGGCGGCATGCATACGTTGGTGTATAATTTTTGTGCATCCCCTTTTTTTATCCCTTGGTGCGTTGACGTTAGATGACGCCACGTTGTGAAAGCTTCTTTCTCCCTTTACACAGGAGAAACGCCGATTTTTTTTTTTTACCCCCACTACACTCCTCATCACTTTTACATTGCTGTTTCTCCTTTGTGCAGTCGGACTTGGATGATGGGGATGGCTTGGCTAATTTGTCACGCCTGCGTGGTTTAAGTAGATCACTTCACATGTCATCACTTAACGCGTCAACGCTTGACTGCTTCTCTATTTTTTTTTTTTTTTTTTTTTTTCCTGGCTCTCTTTTCTTGCTCCACTTGGATATACCGCGCACATCGCAAAAGCGCGCCTTCCATTTTAAAGCCACACTTTTCTCTTCTCTTTGCGTCTATGCTGTGGTGTGGGAGATGTACGAAACTGCGAAAGAAGCATCTGCATTATCGCACGTTTGGCCAGTTCCCTAGCAGCTTTTTTTTTTTTTTTTTTTTTTTTTTTTTTTTTTTTTTTTTTTTTTTTTTTTTTTTTTATAGCAAATTGGCTTGTTCTCCTCCAACCTCATTTGCTTTGCTGATTAGTGATTAACCCCAAAGCAGCACATCCCCTCTGTCGTCGGCTACACCCCATAAAACAACAGAGGCGTGAAAAATGACATTTTTTTCCCCCAGAGGATGGAGCACAATAAAGGGATACTACAGGGGAAGTAATTTTTTTGGTCAAGGTAATTATGAACGGACCTTAGCCGCTCTGTTGAGCAGTTGCGTGGTGTACTATTGCACGTTGAGAGATGAGGAGAGGAGAAGGGAGTTCAAATCACATGTGAAAAATGTGAAGAAGGATCTAAGTAGTACCTTCCTTGTATGGAGGCAATGGAACAGTGAAAATGGAAGCCTGTTTAGAAGTAACAGAAGTGTGTCCTTTTGCGATACGAACAAAAAGGGATTCCGTCACCCCTTGTGGAGATCCGAAGAGAAGAGGCCAATTGAAAAAATGGAGAATGCTATTCTGTTTAGTGGTTCCTCGAATCCCTTGTTGAGTAAAAATATTGCAGACCATCTGGGTACCATATTAGGAAGAGTACATTTAAAAAGATTCGCAGATGGGGAGGTCTCCATGCAGTTCCTAGAAAGTATTAGAGGGAAGGATGTGTACATTATTCAACCGACATGCCCACCAGTGAATGAAAATTTAATTGAGTTGTTACTAATGATTTCTACATGTAGAAGAGCTTCTGCTAAAAAGATCACAGCTGTTATTCCCTACTATGGTTATGCAAGACAGGACAGAAAACTCAGTTCCAGAGTACCCATATCAGCAGCTGATGTTGCTCGCATGATAGAAGCCATGGGGGTCGATCGTGTGGTGGCCATTGATTTGCACTCAGGACAAATACAAGGTTTCTTTGGGCCCAGAGTACCCGTGGACAATTTAGAAGCTCAATTAATAGGGTTAGATTATTTCACTAAAAAGGATTTATATAAACCTGTGATTGTTTCTCCTGATGCAGGGGGTGTATATCGAGCAAGGAAGTTCCAGGACGGACTTAACCACAGAGGGATAAGTGAGTGTGGAATAGCTATGCTTATAAAACAAAGGACCAAGCCAAATGAAATTGAAAAAATGGACTTGGTGGGAAATGTCTACGACTCGGATGTTATTATTGTAGATGACATGATTGATACATCGGGGACTTTATGTGAAGCTGCTAAGCAATTGAAGAAACATGGAGCCAGGAGAGTGTTTGCATTTGCTACACATGGACTCTTTTCAGGACCTGCTATTGAAAGAATTGAAAATTCTCCTCTCGAGGAAGTCGTCGTCACCGATACGGTCAAGTCAAATAAGCATATAGACAGCTGCAAGAAAATTACAAAGCTCAGTGTCTCTGTACTTGTGGCAGACGCCATTAGACGAATCCACCAGAAGGAGTCCCTCAATGATCTGTTTAACATGAAGGGATAGGAGATGCCCAACACGGTGTACAAGTTATACTCTCCACGCGCGCGCACACTGCATCCATCTCACCTTCCCTGGCAGTTCACGCAAAGTGCACGCAAAGGAGGAGAAAAAAATGAGTGGCTTTTCCCGCGCACACTTTGTGTCATTTTCCATTTCAATCCTTTTACGCGTGACAAACGATTCGTCACATGGCCCACATCCCATGCTCGCTCTTTAAAGGGAAAAGGTGGTGTATAGCACTTGGGCTGTTGTGTGCGTGTGTGCAATCACCGCAAAAAAAAAAATAAATATAATGAAACACAGTAATATAACGAAGCGTGACGATTCATCCCCATGTCCTGCCAAACGAACGCAGTTTGCCTGCACACACGCCCCTTCAACGTGAATGCCTCTTCTCTCCCCACCGCCGCGCTACAAAAAAAAAAAAAAAAAACAACACCCAAGAAACCGCGTTTGTTAATGATTCGTTCGTTTTTGCGTATTCATCCCCTTTTAAAACTCTGTTGTGCAGCGCATTTCCAAACTTCTTCCCCCCCCAAGGTATGTCATTTAAAAAAAAAAAAAAAAAAAAAAAAAACCCATGTGTTAAACGTGAAGAAGTGTAGTAACAACTTCTTCCCTCCACCCATGCGATTAAGTCCAACCAAACGGCACGTGTATTTCCACAAGTGGGAAAAAAAGAGGCCATCTCCCCTCTCCCTATCTGTTTGTCAATAAGCGGTCTAACAAAAAAACTGTTCCAATTGTTCCAATTTTTTTTTTTTTTTTTTTTTTTTTAACAAGCTATACAATGGGTTGCGAATAACATGCTCGCCTCTTGCCATCCCCACCCCCTGTTTGTTCCGATCTGTTCAAATGTGCTTTCACCAAAAGGGGCTTAAAGCGGTTGCCTTTAATATGGAGGCCCTCGAAGTGGTCAACCGGCGTTAACCTCGCCCACAACGTAGGGGCGAGAAAGGAAAAAAAACAAAAAAAAAAAAAACAGCCAAAATATAAATTATAGCATTTTTTTTTTTGTTTCTCCACGCGCGAAATTGGCGACCTCCCGATGAGAGCCCAATTGACGAGTGCGACTCCAGCCCAGCCCCCCTCTTGACCGCTCGTGGGTTGTTTTTTTACTCCAATTGGAACTGCCAAACTGCGGGATGCCTCATAAAAGCACGTACACGTGGAATACTGTTTAAGCAACTTGTTCCCTCTGAAGAGAGGCCCCAACAAGGACTCTTCCCTCCCAATCTGCCTCAACCGAGCCGACCACGCAAACGGCACCTGTGATTTGCTTTAAGCGTGATCGTGCGCTTGAGCGAGCTGCTTCCGCTTCCCCCCCCCCCCCCTGTGTGAATCGTTTCCACTGTAGGTATTTAATCAGATGGCTCCTCCGAGCAGTACACGAAATGAATAGCACAAGTAACGTAAACGCGTGTATCACACAAGGACCAACCACATTTCTTCCTTTTTTTTTTTGTTCCCCCCCCTCCCCACATATATACTGATGTAGGACACCCCCCACCCCGGCCAAACATGAGCTCTAACTCCCCCAAGGACTTTGTGGAGAGTCTGAAAGGACGAGTGGTGATAGTTCGGCTGAACAATGGGTCCGACTTCAAAGGCATTCTGGCCTGCTTGGATGAACGCATGAACGTCGCACTGGAGCAGACGGAAGAATTTTTTGAAGGGGAGTTGGTGGAGAGCTACTATGATGCCTTCATTCGTGGAAACAACGTGTTCTACATACGGGCCATTGACGATGAGTAGGTGTGAAAAGAGGAAGACCATTCGCATGTGATGGTGTTAACCATGCGTGCAAGCGGTGTGCAGACACCGTGCCCAAGCGAAACATTTTTTTTTTTTTTTTTT